TTTTACTTCATACGTCCATTGGATAATTAATGAAAAATTGTGAATTTCCAAACTTACCAATGTGCATGGTCACGTTAGGCAGAGAAATTTGCAGCACCGACACATTATTCTTGTTTTCACACTTGTCTGCAAGAAGCAGGAAAAAACATATTCCTGCATACGTGTCGTTTTCGATTTTGAGGTTTTCTGCCGTGGATATGAGCTTCGAACTAGCTGCGCTATTCACTGATGTCAGCTCAATGCCGTCAAAATCTTCACATAATGATGCGATGCGGTCGGTGTCAGAAACTGCCGCCGCCACTTGAGCGTTGCTAGGACCTTCTGCTCCTTGACCGACATCTGAAACTACAGCCATTTGCCCAATATCAGGGACTTCTGCCACTTGCCCGACGTCAAGAATGGCCGCCACTTGCCCGCTGTCAGGAACTTCTTCCACTTGCCCGATGTCAGGAACTGCCGGCACTTGCCCGACGTCAGGAACTGCCGCTACTTGACCGATGTCAGGAACTTCTGCCACTTGCCCGACGTCAGGAACTGCCGCTACTTGACCGATGTCAGGAACTTCTGCCACTTGCCCGACGTCAGGAACTGCCGGCACTTGCCCGACGTCAGGAACTTCTGCCACTTGCCCGATGTCAAGAATGGCCGCCACTTGCCCGCTGTCAGGAACTTCTTCCACTTGCCCGATGTCAGGAACTGCCGGCACTTGACCGACATCAGGACCTGTTGCCACTTGGCAGATGACAGGAACTGACAAAGCGAAAAAAGTGTTGGCAGATCAGGATAAAGTTTGATATTTCCAAGCAATTTTCGAAATAAAGTTAAGGGTTAGCGCTGATGCTCCCCATATATAAAAAATTACAATATGGATTTTCTTAATTCGACGACATTCATGTAATCATGAATTCATGATAGTTTTCTTCTTCATTGCCATTCAAATTCTGCTTTGGTTATTAGAACGTGTTTATCACAGAATATTTGTCAGACAAATATTGGAATTAGAGTCTACCCTCCAGCATCGTTTATGGTTTGATTCTCAAGTTAAAATTCGTAGACTCACCAACCGATCATTAATTCTTAGTTGAAGTAAGAACACAAATTTATGCTCATGTTGAAAAGTTTCGCCAACATTTACATTTAAAGCCAACATTCTTTAAATGTATTTTTTCTAAAGCCATTTCATCTATCAAATGCCAGGTTTACAGACCCGCTAGCACTGTGAAGCTGTAGCTGGCGAAAACCACCCAAGCAAAGCGGGGTAGGTTAAGCATGACGCCTTCTGCTGCCTCTACGCTCTCGTTTGGTGAAGTTTGGTCCTGATCTAAGAAACGTGTTAATAGTAATTTCATCTTTATATGTACCAAGATAGAGCTAACTTTGTATAATTCTCTACCGAGTGACGTACATTAAAAAAATTCCATTTCTTCACGATACTTGTTTGGGCCGAACTTGTTTCATTGGGCCGAAATTGTTTTTCGCCCAATAATATTGAATGCAAAATTGTGTACAAAAAATTTGAACTCAATCGAACAATGTTACACGATTTTAATGATAGGTTTGATAGCTTTATAAAGAGTTAATCAGCTTGTAAATCCACAGCTCCCCAAAATTGGAACACGATAACGAAATAGTCAAATAGTTAAAGTTGTTGTGAACGTATGTAATTTGATAAGATATGATTTTAGTGGTTTCTGCACTCTTGTTGAAAAAGAGGGCAGAGGCTACTGTGTGTGATTTTTTAGTCCATTCGACTACTACAACTTTCGACAACGACAACCAGAACGGAGCGTAAAAGAACAGTTTGAGAGCATGATACAAGTTTTCCAATCTTAAACATCCTGTAGTCATGACTCTTTAATTTCAAGCTATCAAATCAAGGTAATTAAAGAATTTATATTGAAATTATTTATAGTGTGGATAATTTTTATTCGCAAAACTGAGTTATTGAGATGATTTTTTCTGGAATTTTCAAATTCAGGTTCCTTATTCGCAATCGACATTAACTTGTATTATTGACATTGAAACAAGTTTAAATACTAGTAAGTTATAGTAAGTAATAATAAGTTATAGTAAGTTTTAATAAGTTATACTGTAGTAAGTAATTCGAAATTAACTCTCCTGGAATGAGACTATGCTTTGTTGGACGGCTCGAATAAACTAGACTGCGGAGGGCCAAGCGTCTCGACCCGCCACTCGAGTCCAATTGAATCCTCATCTCTCTGCCCGCAGCGCTGGTAGCAGCATCGATCGGTTGGCTTTTACATATCTGTATTTTATCTGCATGCGTCAAAACAGCATGAAGAAGCCATGGCAACGCGATAATTAAACCCGATAACTTTTCTAGCAAGTCATTCTTTGTTGCTTCAATGCATTCAAGTGCTTCCGGTTCTCGAGTTTTCGTGTGTGTAATTAATTCCTCTTGCAAGACTTGGCATCGTCGTAAGCAATTTTGAAACGAATGCTTTTGTTTGTTTCTTCAAATTTTGAAGAGTGATTTCACAAAATGGTTTGCACACAATCTTCATGCTCTTCACAGACTTAGAACTATTTCGTAAGATCAATTCATAACTCACGGTAAGTTTCATCGAAGTCGAACACAATCATCGCGGTCAGCGACCAAGGCTTGAATTGTTGTTAGAAGTTTGCAGGTTTTTCTCATAATGCTGCCTTGAATAATGTTTATGTTGATATCGTTATGTAATCGTTTCATACTTTAAATTAATTTTTTATTGAAATAATGTGAAAAATTCTGTCATTGATAAAATGCAAATGTTGCTTGTTTACTCGTTTTGCTGTCGGTAATCAAGGATACTGAAGATCAAGATAGAGTTGCCTTGCCGTCAACCTTGATCAACTTGCGATGCAATTGTTTGCACAAGGCACTCTTTGCTATCAAAGAACGTCAGATTCTTGATGAGAACGTCAGGTTCTTGATGATTGATGAGCTTCGAACTTTTCACAGAACTCTTTGTAACAGTCAGCAGTGTGAATTGCTTTATCTTCGTTATACGGTTAGAAACTGCACCCAGCATTTGGTTGTATTGTGTCAGCTCTGTTAAAGCCTAGTTGGTTGGTACAGTCATATGCCAATACATGTCATGAGTTCAAAACATGTCATGAGTTCCAGGTCATCACCTGAATTTCTCAAGTAATAACATTGTTGGAAAATTCATGAATATTGAAGTCGATTGACTACTGCAATCGATTCTTCGAGCAGATTATATCATTAATTCAATTTGTTGGTCAGAGGGATATATATTATGTAGTTGTTCCAAACTTTCGGGTTGTTTGCAACGAGTTACTTATTTCATGGGATTTGAAATCGCGAATACAAGTAACAATTTGTGGTCAAATCGATTTACAAGGACTACGCATTCTTTATGAACATTTACCATTAGAATGTGCCTGCAGTATTGCAATACGATTTTAACTTTTTACAACACTTCTCTTTAACTTCACTTCTTGTTTGTCTGTCTGTCTGTCTGCTACAAATTTTGTAATCGAAATTTAACACACTTCTACTAATCCCATCAATCTGAAATTTTGCATACTTGTTTAAAGTTGGAGACAATGCATGAATCAAATGTCAAAATAAATGATTTTAAAAAGTAATAAATTTTTTTTTTTCAATATTAAAAAAATTGAAAAAATAATTTTGTCAGCTACAAATCTTATAACTGATATTTGACACACTTTTACCTGTCTAATTGATCTGAAATTTTGCACACTTGTGTGAAGTTGATAAGGATAGAAATTCATAAAATTGGGAATATATGTAGAACCGTTGAAGATTTCATAAGCCGACGTTTTGAAAACAAGCGGGTATACGACGCCCCGCGCGGGTAGCGAATGGGGCTATAAAAGGAGGGAGGTAGTAGGAGAAGCAGCGCAGAGTGAAACGGCCAGCGTGCCGAGTAACATCGTGTTGTGAGTGGAGAGCCGTCTCCTGTAGTAGTGTCACCAAGCTGTTGTTCAATACAGTGTAAGAGGACTAGCTGCGACGATCCAAATGTTTTGAAATAGTCAACGTTTGTATCGACAATTGCGGGCAACGAAGCATTCAACGACTGGGAAGATCGAAGTCCTCGTATGTGAATCTACAACTATTTGAGCACCACGTTTATTGACGAAGATAGTATTCTTGAAATCAACGTCTACGAACTCCTGAAATCAACGTCTTCACGGCCCACTATAGCCCTCACGAAATTCGGGTAGTCATCGAGGAACGCTACGTAAGCACTGCTGAGAATTTGGAATCATCGTGCCAGTATAGCCACTCTGACCAAAGTACCTGACCAATTCCTAATTTGTATCAGATGATAGAAAATCGATAAATTAACGTAACAATTTTAATACGGAAGTTGAAATTCTGATTTAACCTCGTGGCAACGTTAGAAGTGATTAAAGATCTCGAACAGAGTTAAAGATTAGCGAGAATTAGGAAGTCTTAGACTTTATAACAAACCTACAAACCAAAGTTTTATTCAAAGTCAGAGGCAATGCATGAATCAATTAATAGAATAAATAATTTTGAAACAAAATTTATCTATTGAAAAAAATTTATATATTAAAAAAATTCTAAAATTATTTTTTTCAATAGTCGAAAATTAAATGAGAAATTCCTGGTACATATTTAAGATTGGAGACACTGGATTCTTTGGAAGTGTTGTCTTTAAAAATTAATTTTTAAACGTATATTATTACAGATATCTTGAATTGAATTGTGGGATGACGACGAATGAAAACTTAGAACGACGTATTCCTTGGCGACGAAATAATTCCGCCTGCATTTTATTTATTCCAAATTATCGGAATTCAAGAAGCAATTATTGATTAGTACCAACCCGGCTTGATAGCGCGGACATTTTATGTTATTTATAGACATTATGAAGACCTCATTATCAAAATGATGCTCATGAGTGTAATTTTATAATCTTGTGGCATTTTAACTTACATTTAACTCATATAGGCTTGTTTGTTCTGGGTTATAAAGGAACCAGTGAATTTCCCACGCTTTATTTGTCTAGATGATGAATGCAATGAGACATAATATACAAGCTTCAATGATACACGTTACCTAATAACAATTGACGAGTATTATGTACATTTATGTTGAAATTCGTCTCACTCAATCACATGAAACGATGTCTAACACAAAGTTCTCGAGTTTGCTGTTCACCATTCATTAGCGAATAACTAATCTCAATATTGCTCACCATTTTCAATAATACATTACTTAAACAACTAAAAATGTTTACATATAAGCGAGTGAGCTCAAATGGAAGCGTAAGATCATATCAAGTTGAGATAACAGGTATAAAATTGACTTCAAATTAGAATATCACTAAATTAATATTAAATGCATGAGTTCGCTCTACCCGCCATTTGGGAGCGTAAATACGGAGCAGATAATTTCAACATGAGGACGAAGGTTGGTTGTTCTGTTTGTGCTGGATGGGCTTTTGCCAGTGTGAGTTGTGCTTGGGTGCTCGCTTGCAAGTCTTGGTTTTCGCATCATTGCTGTCCGTGTGGTCGGTGTCTGAATCTTCACCAAGAACTTGTTCCATGTATTCTGCTATTTGTGTGTTTCCAACTCTCGTTCCAATAGAGCCTACCGTGATGGTTTCGTCGTGTTCATATGCCGGGTTGAAAGCAGCGTATGTGTGTAAACCAGCCACTGTGGGGCCCATTTTGTCGTCCGCTCGCACCCCTATAACTCCTTCTCTTTCAGCCTTCCCATTAGTAAGCTCAAAAAATAGTCTTCCCTGGCCAGGAGGTTCTGGAACTTTTACAATGCCGTTCCTTGACGGAGAATATCCTGAGTAGTGCGAATCTGTCATGGAACGTCCATCGCCGTCATCGCGACGTGACAGGTCGCTTAGGGTGTGCGCATGATTAGGGTTGCCCTCGAGGCTGATGGCCATGTTATTAACATGGGGGTGGGCGGATACCCAGGGTTTAGGACCAAACCTCTTCGGTGGGATAGGAGGTGGTTTTGGCTTGAAATCTGGTTTCGGAGGGAGAGCTAACTGATTGTCTTCAGCTAAAGATAGTTTATCAAAATTGCCAAAACTGTCTTCAGAAGCAGATTTGCTCTCAGTATCGCCGTTATCAGACGGCGCAATTGGCTGCGTGACCGACATAAGGAGTTTTGACAGAGGAGGGGCTAGGCCGAGACCTAAATTTCTCTCGTGATATACGTCACTAATTGGCATTTCTCTATTAAGTCTGGACATTTGAGTGGCTATAATGTGGTCTTGGATACTCTTGTGACCCATGTGACCGATTTTAATGGACATGTCCTCATTAGATCGGTAGTTGTACATGGGATCATTTTCATGAATGGTCGCAGCACGGTTTGTTCTTGGCCGCAAAAGCTTCCCAATGTTTGAGTCTAATTGAATTTCTGGCGTTTTCCTCGGAGGAGGTTGTCTAGGTTCAGTTGGAATTGTAGGCGGCACAGGATTTGATGTCGATGTTGAAGGAGGGCAATCTTTTTCATTCAAACTTAATTCTCTATCTCCACTGATGTCTCTTCTCCTGCAGCTTTGAGATGGTTTCTTACCTAATTCAGTGCGGACACTCAAGCGATCCAATGTATTCATATTTGATCCCTTGGATAATTTCAGTGTAGCTGCGTTTCCGACTGTGGTATAAACGCTCCTAACAGTTCCGGCTCGTTTCGGACCAAAATCTGAATCAGAACTTTGAGACTCGAATCCGGATGAAGCTTGTGAGTTGCTTTTGTTAATAGCAATTCTCGACGGCCGACTGAAGCCAGCACTAACGTCACTGACCCGATGGCTCGTGCTAATGGTAGGTGGCTTGGCTGCAGGAACGGGTTTCGGCATCGGTTGACGTCGCACAGTGGACTGACCACTCTCCCAGTCAGTCATGCTGCTGGTGCTGCTCGAGCTGTCTGGCCTTTTTGCTCCACCATCGCTTGCAGGGGAGGTCGAAGTATACAAAGATCTAATCTTATTTTGATGCGCCAGGGTAAGTGATATTCTAGGTGAGGGCTGAGGAGAGCTTTGATCGCTTGGTGGACCTCCTTGTGATGACTTGAACGTCCTCGCGTACCTGGTCGCTGGGTCAACTGGTGACGGCGTGAAAGCGGCATCGCTTTCACGGCCCTTCTGCTCGGTGGTCGATGCTCGAGCACCGTCGGGCTCTCCTCTATTGCGAACATACGAAGAAAATGCGCCGCGACCGAGAAGAAGAGGAGCGGACCTCGGAGGATACATGGGAGCTGTTGGCGGTGGAGGTGCAGTCGAAGATGCGTCTTCATCCTCATCCTCAGAGGACGTGATCGACTCGAAACTGTTGTTGACTTCCATGGATAAGCTCTTTGGAGTATCTTGAGTATCTGGAACAAAATTATAAAGCTTATAGTAAGCTAGGATTTAATGCGTCTATTTGCTTAATTTGTAATGAAAAAATAGTGTGTATAGTAATAAATTTAAGGTAAAAAATATACAGAAATAGACCATTTAGAATTGATAGCTATTTGCACTCACCGAATAAAGCCAACATAACCTGGTGAGCAAACTGTATGTTCCGCTTGTTGGAGAGCTTGCTCGTCCTGAGCGTAACTTCTTCGCGGCCAACGTCAACCAGATCAAGACCTGAGAAACGAAATTCAATACTCTAACTTGATCATAGGCAAGACAACTCAAGTTTTTCTTCCGTTAAATTAAATCATAGGTATCAATCCAAAAATAAGAATGGGAAACCCGAAACAATAAGTTCTACATTACAATCGAATCAAATTCTTGGCTAAATTTGGGATAAAAATTTATTGACAAAATTTGAGTCACTTGACTTAAAAAAGCGAGTCACTTTATTCGCGATGGAAAACTTCAGCCAAACTGACCAAGGGAGGCGAGGAGTTCATGACAGCCGTTGACACGCCACAGTTTGACAGGCACGGACACCTCGATGGGTTCCGCCTCCAGCTCCTTGGCAGTGAACTGCTCCATGATGGACCGCATCACCGACACCACCTCCTCGGCGCAGTCCGGCGACACCATCAGCTTAGACACCGCTAGCAGCGACGTCGAAGATAAGCCTGCACGATTAAACAGTATTCGATCAGGGGCGAGAAGAAAGTCGAGTCAATGAAAACGAAAAGTAATTCTCTTACCGTTCACAAGAACATCGTAAACAAGCCTTCATCACGCAAAAGCAGGGATAACTTCTCCATCACAAGAATTTTGTAAAAGATGAGGGTCTGCTGTGTGATGCTCATTCAATTCTACTAGTAGGATAAGCATTTTGTTCGTAGGTCTGAACACCTTCCGCAATTTTGTTTCTTTTATAGCACGAGATGTCATTATTTTGATCGTTTCCTATTCATAAAGCAACTTTGAAAATGTTGTTTCATGCAGATTCTATGAAGGAGATGTTGAGCAAGATTTAATCTATCTAGAAAGAAAAATACACACGGATTATGAACCATCAACCCGATTAGGGCAAGAAGTAGCAGCAGACTTCCAAGATTGTTGGTCCAGATTCGATTTTGTTCTAAAAACTTCATCAACCCCTCTTAGAAAGTAAATTGTATCACACGTAAAATATTTGTCATAACTTTTACCAAGTTATTTAAGTGGTCATAATTGCTAGTCTCACCAAGAAGAGCTTGGAGACTTGCAGAGCACTGCGTCAGTCGCTCGCCAGGGTCGCTTTGAGGGAAAAACACGCTGCTGGGGATGCCGTTCGCTGCAGGTTCAAATCGGAAGCCGACACTCATGAGCAGATCTTTCCAGCCACTCACTGCACCCACTTTGTTCTCGATGGAACGCTGCGTCGTGTACATGGCGTTGCGATGGCCGCGATGTATCCGCTGCAACGATTTCTCAACCTGCAATAAAGAGGAACATTCACGGCTCTGTGCTGGATATTTATGCTCACGATTCGTGAAGGTGAATTAAAAATTCAGGAAAGCATTAGAAGTAAAAATTATTGTTAACAGCCGTAAACGAAGATTGATGGAATTTAGCGTATATACTTGGACTTAACGATCTTATTTGCTTTCGACTGAATTCCCAAAATTGGATCAGAAATTTAGCAGTCAATGAGTGAAAATTAATCAAGCCAAGATTGATTACAAAACTACAAGACTGATTAAGACTGGTTTCTCAAGTGTTATCATCCCACCAATGTAATGGAAAAGCAATGTAACATTTGAACATTAAAAACTTCCGCTAAAGTATCATTGAAAAAAATATTCCTGCGCTCCTGAATGCAATTCGAAATTGATGCACCATATGTGAAACAAAATTATTTCTTTATTTTGCCTTAACACGTTGACTGCGAAGGAGTACATACATGTATATATGCACCAAGAAATGTATTTTTCCAGGACGTAGTGGTACATAATTCAGGGGTGCCAGATGGCCTAAAAAAATTTATGGTACTGGTATATTAGTATGCTCTGGTGTAAAAATTCCATTTCTTTTTTTTTTATTTAATTATGAAGTACCACAATCATAAATTTTAATCGGCCAACGCAATTGAGAAAAAAAAAACGAAATCGCGGAATTTGTCCGGAAAAAAGACCGTATGGCAACCCTGTTTCGTAATAGTACTAAAAATGAAATAATAATACAAGATGAAGCAATTGGAGTCAACGTTTTAATATCAAAAAGTGAGTGTGTTCGTTTCTCTTACCAACCATCATGCGCCAAGTACAAAACTGAATAGCTTCGTCTGCCCTCAAATTGGTGGGGCGATCACTCACGAAATGAAAAGTTAAAATTTATCTCAGTTAAATCCTTAATAATTTGAGATCGTGAGGTTGAAGTATATACGTCTGCCTCCTAAAGGTTTGGTGGGATGGGGGTGCCCACTCAAGAAATGAATAGTTAAAATTTACGTAAAGCAAATCCTGAATAATTTGAGATCGTGAGGTCGAAGTATATACGTCTGCCCCCAAAATATTAGCTGGGTGAGGGTGAACACTCACGAGATGAAGAGTTACTCGCAGCGCGTCCCTGCACTTGTCGGGCGTGCGCAGAAGCTCGCTCAGAGCCTGACCCATCAGGGCAACCTGGCCAACCAAGAAATTGATGTACATTCCAGGAACAAGAAATTTATGTACAGGCGAATTCTTCAAGAACAAGTAATACTTGAATATTTCAATCAAAATTTCATAAATTCCACACAAATGATCGCAAAATTAAGAGCTTAATAATACTAAAATAATAGAATTGATATTAGGACGAGTTAAATGTTTATTACTTGGTCGTACCTTATTGGAGAGCTTGACATCTGCCCCTACGAGCAGGAAGCCTGCCCAGTTGGCGGGGTGAGCGAAATGTTTGGTGGTCTGCACGGTTTGCTGGGCCTCTGACAGAGCACGACTCACGCGGGCACCCTGCACATGCGGTCAACGCAAATGTACTATGGCAATTCTAGTGCATTCGTAAGATACCATTTTCCTAAGGATGATCTTTGTGGATTAGTGCACACAACGACAAAAAAGACGGAAGTTGCCTTTCTGTGTTATTAATTCAAATTCGAGGTTTCTAAATTCTTTAGAATGAACTGTTTGACAAGCCTGCAAAACTCATTGCATTACTAAGCAAATAGAGTAGTAAAGTACAAGAATAGCGTATAAACAAGAAACTAACCTGCAGCAGGGAGGAATAAAAGGTTCTAAATAGGATCTTGACAGCCGTGTCAGGGACGGGCCAAAGAGACACCAGGACACACTGAGCCCCTGCCGCCAGTAGCGCCCTCGTCAGGCCCACAACTCCGTCGCTGTTGGCCCTGCCGTGATGATCTCTCGTGTGACACGACGACACCACCACTAGCTTTGCGCGCAGCTTCAAGTTCAGGATATCTGCAGCCGTCAGCAGGAATTCAGACAGCGCCGGTAAGTCGATCGTGGAGGCGATCTCGGAGCCCTCATCGTCGATGTGTTCGTGTATGGCTTCAGGCTGAGAAGAGTGCGATAATCGCTTAGATGCCCGCGATTCCACGAATTCTCCCGGCGATAAAATAATGGCAGAAAGTTTCCACGAGACGTGCGTGGCCAAATGAATGCACTCCATTTGTGATATGAGACGCAGTATGCTATCTTTGCTAGCATTAACGCCATTGAGGGCTTTGGTTTGCAGCATTTCTGCGACAATTGAGGATTCTTGCTCTGCATAGGGGATATCACCCCAGCCCCACTGTTCAGTGACTGCGCTTGGCAGTTTAGGGTTACCGATCACCAGAGCGTTCGTTTGCTCTCCGTTAGGCTTGTTGTTCTTGGCTCGCTGAGACACCTTCAAAGTGCTGATTGACGGCACGACTAACAGGGAATACTTTTCACAGAGATAATCATTGCTTTGAGCACCTTTCAAAACCGGGAAAGGCACCAGGTACAAATCTCCTTCAAGAACAAGCAAAAGCTCCCGCGACACGCTCGGATTAGGTAAGTATTCCTCCATAGGCGCGATAAGCAGCTCATACAGCGACCTCAGACACGACGGCCCCTGCCACATGACACGCCGGGACCGCGTCGATCCCGGTCGCGAAGCCGTTCCCGATGCGATGGACCCGCTTACACTCCCCAGAGAAAACAAAGAAGAAAGAGAATAATTCGATGAATTAAACAGGTGATTTCGGTTAACCATCCTCAGGAAGCCAGTTCTGTCAGCCTCATGGTTCAACTTATCCCCTAGTTCTTCCAAATGAGCATTCCACATTTCTCCAGCTTCACTCTCTGTTTCACTGGCACCGCCGCCTCCGACGCCGGCGCGACCACCGGCGCCAGTGCCGTACTCGACGCCCAGGGCGTCCCGCACAGACTGGATGTAGTGCTCGAGCAGCGAGCCTGACGCGGCCGCTGCTTCGCCTCCTCCTGCTCCTCCGCAGTCACTCTCGCGTTCGGCGTCAAGCTCTGAGACGTTCACCTCGTGGAACTTGACGATGCCTGTGCATTAAGGTAAGCGCAATAAATAAAAAATTCACTAAAACACCAATCGAAACCTTGAAAAATCTCTCTATTTTAATTAAAAGATCAAAAAATATCGAAACTAACCTAGGAATACAACGTGTTTGAACAAGTTCCATAAGCGACAATAAAGTTACAAATAAAATAACTTGATTAAGTTTACAAATAAAATACTTGATTGAACAAATATATTACCTTTATTAGGAACAATGAGCCAGCTGTAGAGGTACCCTGCAGCTATGCTATAGTACAAAACTGTTGCTTTCTGCTTGTTAACTACGTCGACAATCTGGTCTACAGAAGAAGGAGTAGAATCCTCTATTCGGTTGGCTCTGGAAGAAGATGTAGTTCCCTGTCTTTCAAGCAACAAGTCAACAAAAGCACGCGTCCTGCCACGCTCAGCAACGAGAAGTGCATCGTAGTGACGGGCGAGGCCCACCAAAACTCTCTGCAGGGCTTGGTAAGATGCCGTCTGGAGGTCGAATAGCGACAGACGATATTCCTGAGAACCTCTCGCTTCTCTTCTAATGGTTTCGAGTAGAGAGGCCGCTCGTTCCAGTTGTGTTTGCGCTGCCTCCAGATCTCCGTGACTCCAAAGAGCCATGCCAAGTCTGTGCCGAACCTTTGCTTCGTCCTCACGACGTCCCAGCTGCTCGGCGATCTGCAAGCCTTGCTGTAAATAAGCCACGGCTTGGGTCGTGTTCCCCAGCGCGTGGTGCACGCGTCCCAACGATGAGTAGGCGAGAGTTTTGCCAACCTAGCACAAGTTAACAAATAATTGATTATATTACATTTTAATAGGTAAATATTCATAGATTATATGTTAATTAATTGATGTTTTCTTCTCGAAATTAAAAAATAAAATAATATTGACTTCTTTATGCAGAGTATTTACGTTAAGGCATTTAAACAACAAAAATTAAAGTTTCTACCGCCGTGCCGTTTACCTTATCGTTCATTTGAGCAGCAATACTGAGATGCTGCTCGCCATGTCGTACTGCTTCTTCGAAATTTCCTAAAGACTCAAACGCCAGGCTGATGTTTCCGTGAGCTCGGCCTTGCACTGCAGGATTCATTATTTCTTCGGCAATGCTGAGGTCGAGCTGATGGTACTGAAGCGCTGACGAATATTCGCCCATCTGCTGGTAGACCGAGCCGAGCCCGCACGCTGCCTCCGCTTCTGCTTGTTTGTCTAACAACTCCCTAACAAGTGAGATCACATTAAATTAACACTTACAGGTCTGATTCTACAAACTTCGCTGGTAGCATGAAGAAATACGAAACTTTACCTTTTTAATTAAAGTTGAAAAATTATTGATAAGAAGAAATGTGTATGATTTAGCGAGTCTTGTTGATCAAATGAGCAGAGACAAAAACTTGGTCGTTGTCAGCCCAAGTTTAAATATGATGAAATTATCATAAAAAACTACATTTGTATTTTTTTATATTTGTATGAGCTGTATTGAACATAATTACGCTGCAAAGCTTCGGGCATAGCTGTAAAAATTATAAACAGAACATTTCTCCTGATACATTCACGAAGATCATGTCCTAATCTTCAGTGACATACCTAGCTATCTTAAGCTGGTGGTCCATGCACGAGATGGCTTGTTCGTAGTTGCCCAAAAGTGAGTGAATATTGCCGAGTTCTCCGTAAGCCGAGGCCTTAGCGGTGGCGGTGTTAAGTTCATGTGATACAACAAGACGCTTCTCGTAGCACACTAACGACTGCTGCAGGTTGCCCACGCAGCGGTGAGAGTTGCCCAGGCCACGGTAAGCGCGCTCCTGGTCTCTTGAACTCTTCGTCTTTAGGCCAATAGTTAAACTCTGCAACGCGAACAAGACGAGCAGTTTGAAACAACCATACTCAACATGTTTACCGCTCAGTTTCTGGTGTCAATTAAGATAAATAAAATAAGATGATGCCTGATATTCGGTCATTATATTATTACTTAAGTAAGATTTCAGTAATATAATCACAATCTTAGGCACAGAAAAAAGTTATACTGCCCAGTATTTTACTGTCAAACTAGAGTTTTATTTCAAAAACAACTTGATCAGAAGGCATTAAACCAATAACATTAAATTATGCTGCTGTAAATTTTCGGCAAATAAAGATTAATTCCAACGCTCATTAGGAAATGACCAGCCCCAAAGGAATCATTTACACATTGAACAAAGTTATACTATGAACATCGTGAAGTTATTATGAACAATCCAAGCTGTGCCTAGCTTGTTCTTGTTTCATTTCAGTTTAAAATACTATGGCCTAAATCATTTGAGAAGCAAGACTTCTGACCTTCTTATGTCAGTTATTTGTCTCGACACAATCTGTGACAACTGATGAGCCTGCGCACAACCTGTTACACTTGATGGGTCCTTCACCTGCTCGTGACATTTGATGGCTTCATCATAACTGCCGAGAGCATCATAACAGTCGCCGAGAGCGTCATAACAGTCGCCGAGAGCGTCATAACAGTCGCCGAGAGCGTCATAACAGTCGCCAAGTCTTCTCACCTGCTCGTGACATTTGATGGCTTCATCATAGTCGCCGAGAGCATCATAACAGTCACCAAGTCTTCTCACCTGCTCGTGACATTTGATGGCTTCATCATAGTCGCCGAGAGCGTCATAACAGTCGCCGAGGTTGCCCAGTGCTCTGCCTTTATCGATGATGGCCGTGGCACTGGAGAGCTGCTCGAGCGTCGCCAGCTGCTGCTCCAGGTAGCCGATGGCGTCTTCGTAGTGCCCCATGTTGAGACGCGCGATGCCCAGGTTCCCAAACGCCTGGGCTTCCATCGCGGCGTCCTGCGAGCAGGTCAGAAACAGTCAGGTTGTTCTTCATTATAGTACGAGGAATAAGTACAAGCCCAGCCGATTCGGTAGGTTGAGGGACAAGCTGAAGGAGAGTGTGGTCTAGGTCTATATTGTTATGGAGCAATTGGAACGCTTATATTTCATTTCAGTCTAAAACACGACTTCTGATACGACTTAATACGACTGACACGACGACTTAATCTATTGCTTCAAAATATAATATTGAAGCAATTGGAACGCTTTCTGTTTAATAAAAGTTGCATGGGATCAAACGTGTGCTAATGAAGTTTCAATTTTATCGATTGATAAACTACAAAAAGGTATAAACTCGACCAGAAAATATTCTTCTTGAACACTCGATTGACGATAAATAAATTCAGTGTCAGAGTTAATATATGTCTAAGATGACGATCCTAACTCTCGCCTTGAGTTCCTTGGCCCTCTCGAGCTGCTCCTCATAGCACTTCATGGCGTTGGTGTAGTTGGCCAGGGACATGTGCACAGCGCCCAGGTGGCCGTGAGCTTTACATTCACCTTTGATGTCTCCCATCTCTTGACGGATTGTTAACTCCTGTGAACAAATTTGTGTATTGAGACTCCTATTCCCTGCAGCGGTATAAAATCTTTTCTCGGGCGATTCAACGTAATCAATTGCATTCATGAGCGCAGAGCATATAACATTGGCATTGCTCTTATGAATATACTCAGTTCAGAACTAAACATAAATAAGTGAAACCATCTTCCAGTGTCACATGACCAAAAAGCTTGTTCCACCTTATTGGTATTACCTGAGTGTGATAACCGAGTGCTTTGTCGAAGCATTTGAGGAGGCGGTGAGCGAGACCCAGGGCGCCGTAGGCTGAGGCCTCCAGGACCTTGTCTCTCGACTGCTTGGCTAGCACGAGCTGCTTCTGGTAGACTTTGACTGCCTCTTCGTAGCTGCGCATCTTCATCAGCACATCGCCGATGTTGCCGAGAGCGCGAAATTTACCTTGTAGGTACTTCATCATGTGCGCTAAAGCTGTAAAAAATGGAAAGATTGTGAATTGCATTGTCGACGCGAAATGTATTCGTAGTTGCGAATTTTGATGGTCAGTGTCGCTGAAAGTTTCTCAGAAAATTTCTCAGTGCGGAAAGTTTCTCAGAAAATTCTTGAGCTCTCGATGGAGCAAGAGGAACACAAGGAATCCATTACTTATTCTACTAATATACTAATACTGCCAATGCTCCAGCTAATAATGGCGTTAATAATAGCATTTGAATCGGTGCTGCTTACCCAAGAAATACTTCTGGCATTCGAGCGCTGTTTCAGAGTTGCCGAGCGCCAGATGAGCGAGGCCAAGGTTGCAGTACGCGCGACCCATGGATTTCCGGTCCTGTAAATCCTTTGCAAGTGCCAAATCTTGGTCGTAGTAACGAATAGCCTCCTGAAATACGCGATATTCGTTATTAATACCATCGTTCCAAATCCAAGCGAGGAAACATGCGGGAGTCGAGCTATCATGATAACTATTATATTTGACAAAAATATAAAGTCATTCATAAAGCTGAGCTTATCCTGCATGATTTAATTCTTCGTTTCAGAAATTGACCAGAAAACAATACAGAGCAAAAAATCTTAGAACCTAATACTTCTTTAACCATATGTATTAGCCGAAATTTTGCAAGCTAATTCACAAGATAACACACGCGAATAATAGTCTATTCAAGAATAGTTTGGTTTACTTAGGTATGAAATTAGCAACTCCTCACCTTAAAATTGCCCAAGCAATAATGAGCATAACCAAGAAAGTGGCAGGCCTTAGCTTCTCCTTCCGTATCGTGCAACTCTTGCGATAACATGAGATATTGTTCGTAGTATTGTACGGCCTGGGCAAACTCTCCTCGCGACGAGTGACAGTTACCAAGGTTGAGGAGAGCACAAGCCTCTCCAGCTGTGTCTTTGAGCTCCCTGGCGATGTTGAGATGAGAATGATAGTGCAACAACGCCATCTCGTGCATACCTAATGCCTGATACGCGACCGCAAGATTCCCGTGAGTAGAAGCTTCACTCATGCGATCGTTAACTTCCTTGCTGATGGTTAGCTCTTGCTTGTGGTACTTGATGGCCTGTTCGTAGTAACCCATGGCGGAATATGCGTTGCCAATATTGCCGTATGCGCGCCCCATTCCTGCTCTGTCTTGCTGCAGCCTCGCTATGCTTAGGTGAGCTTGATGTAACTTTAGAGCGGCGTCATGGTTTCCCATGAGTTGATATACAATTCCTAAATTAGAACATGCACGTCCTTCAGCTACTTTGTCTTTGGTGGTTAACGCCATGTCGAGTTGCTTCTCGTGCCACTTCTGTGCTTGTGTATAATCGCCCAGACATCGGGCAGCATGGCCTAGACCGGCATAGGCCCGGGCCTCGATTGTTCGGTCCCCAAGTTCCTGAGCGATCCTCAGCACGTGGTTGTGGAATGCGATGGCTTGGTCGAAGTTACGTTTATAGTGATGACTCGATCCCAAATTGCTGTATGCTCTCGCCTCCTCTACCTTATTGGAGAGCTGCTTTGCTATCCGTAAGTGTTCCATATGACAGTCCACGGCGCTGTCGAAGTCTCCCATAGCGAGGTACACGGCGCCCACGTTCCCGATTTCTCTGGCCTCTTGCAGTTTGTCGCCCATCTGTTTCACGAGCTGCACGCACTGCTTATGAGACGCCAGCGCGTTCGGAAAATCACCAATGGCCGTGTAAACGTGACCTGCACAACAACGCGATAATTATGCCCATGAATGACCATAACGATAAAATTATTATTATTTGAGCTATTAAATTGATGATTGAATTAATGATCCAATGCATCTTTACACAATAGAAGAAAAAATTTGGGAGCTCGAGAAATTTTATAATGAACTGATACGTCCTTAGAACTCGTCATGAATGATATTTTCAGCTCAAATTAGAGAATTGCTGCATAACCAGCCGTACTTGTGTGTACACGCATCCAAACAGATTGACGGCGTTCAGACTAGATAACATTTTAAGCGCATAAGTAAGCATATATTATAAAGCTAGAGGAGCTATAAAATGGCTGAAGTCTCACAATTTCGAATTATTTGCTTAAAACTTTCATTTATTTACAAATTCTTATTTCTTCAGATGTTTGCGTTAAGATAATAAAGGAACACAAATGGTCAAAAACTCTTTTCTCGTGAAGGCATGCACTTGAATCTATGTATCAATGTGGCTGGCTTGTTTGGAGGCCAATGAGGCAGAGGCAAGATACGGAAGTTCAGACCAAGCCTAGCGATGTCGGTGACAATGACGCAGCGCAATTTCATGATATTGGCTACCTTCCCAATAGCTTCTTGCTTCATCAGGAGCCCCCTCATTAACATTCAACTTGAAGAGTTTCGGCTGTATCGAGTTCGATTTTTTATGTTCTCGGGCACCATCACTACTTAACTCATCATCCCCCTTCTTTACCGCAACGGTCTGCAACTTTGAGGCATTGAATCGGTGAGCATTTGAAAAATGGCGCGGTTGTAAAAACGCATCATCAATTCCCGTAAGATCAAGGGCCGGAGTAACGAGAAGCTCATTAATATATCGCGGATAAACCGAATGGATCACAGGATGGAATTCTCTTGGAAAAGTACGCTATTTAATCACAAAGACGGGATTTTTATGATGAAGACCGCCGTATGATGACAGTAACGGAAATATGTATATAAAAACACAAGCTCACCTACACGCGCAGGAATAAATAGGTGTTAGATGCATCAATTGTATTTCTTATTATAAGAAAATTCTCAACAACAAACTTTTTCGTTTTCAAAAGAGACTTGGGTCCAATAACTAATCAGTAATTACTTCACGAGTAAATGTTCTTGCAGGGGGTCACGGAAAAAAGATTCATCGCGGAAAAAACTATAATTTTACAAAAAATAGAGCGTTTCCTGAAATGACGCACTCTTAAAATGATATAAATATTCTCTTCTGGAAAAATAATAAGTTATGACGTCTGCTAAAGTACGAACAAAATTTTTCGCAGGACACAAAGAAAAGTTGTCGTAGGAATGTCGTGATTCTTACCGAGACTGGTGAGGGCGGAGGCAGCAGCTTGTGTGTCTTTACACTTCATGGCGAGCACGAGCTGGTATCGGTGCGAGGTGAGCGCCTCCTTGAAGTTGCCTTTACTGAAGTATGCGCTGCCCAGATTACCATGAGCGCGACACTCGCCCGCTATGTCGCCCAGAGACTTCGCAACTGACAGATCTTGTTGCATATATGATACCGCCTGAAAGAAAAACGAACGTTTGATGTAAGTTTTTATTCCCGAGTATTGTTGTTCATGCATCTTCATATCATGTTGCATGCATGACGTAAGAGTGCCGAGTAAATCATTGGAATTTAACATTTTTGAATTATCATTAGCTTACTGCGCAATAAACTAAATGAGTGAGCCGCTTAACTAGAAAATTTTAGTCTCCAATGCCAATTACGCAAAATCAGGACTTACTTTATCGAGGGAGTTGAGTGCCCAGTAAGCGGAGGAGAGGGCAGAGAACACGGACCCTCTGAGTTTGAGGGAACAGGTGCCGATTTTGAGGGCTGCCTCGAGCACCACCACGGCCGCGCTGTAGTGACCTGCAGCCAGCAGCTCCTGGCCGATCACTGAGATGATCACGAAGGGGCTTTTGTCCAGCCGCATAGTCTGCAGTTGGCGGTACGTTGGCTCTAGAGTCGCTGCAACAGTGAACAATTGGGATTCTTTAAAATCAGTTCAAGAGTCGCTGCAAAAATGAACAATTGGGATTCTTTAAAATCAGTTCAAGAGTCGCTGCAACAGTGAACAATTGGGATTCGGTAAAATCAGTTCACGAGTCGCTGCAAAGATGAACAGTTTGGGATTCATTAAAATCAGTCCAAGAGTGGCTGCAAAAATGAACAGAGGTGATTCGTTAAAATCAGTCCAAGGCACGCTGCAAAATTGAACAGTTGGTGTTTCCTTAAAATCAGAACATTGTGTTTTTGATTGCAAACTCAGCGAGCTATATCAATGAGAGTTATAATTCTGAATTGGAAAAATTTAAATGGGCGCTTGAAGTACTTGCCTCTTAATAATCGCGAATGAAACTTTTAAATTTTCTCAGAGAAATTTCTTCTACTGGTATTAGAATGATAAAATAATATTTTGATTGCAAATTTCGACAATTTTCTACGTTTATTTCCGATTTAGACAACAAATAAGAATGTTATAATTAAATCACTCGTCCTGAAAATAGTCAGGTTCCCTTTATACTATGATTCCAAAATTAGCGACTCATGATTATTTGTATCAAATGAAAGGAACACTGCACGGATTAGTTCTAACGAGGCACCTCTTGTGAGAACAACCGGTGATCCCCAGCTTTTCATTTTATCGCTATTGGCGAGACAGATTTGATAAATGTTCGGATGATTGAGATCTTGAGCGCAGAATGATTTCCTGGAAACTAGAATTTCGGAAGAACCGTTTCCAGGAAATGTGCTCGAATAACCACGCAAGACACGCGCTATCATTTGTCTTGAATCGTGCGACGCGCCTGAGGAATTCGACGGCTGAAGCTAATTCGACCGTTGCGTCTTTGTGACACGAACAATAGCAGGAATCTAAGATATCGGCATCTTGATTAACATAGCGAAGATAAATTGCGGGCGCGTAGCACGATAATAGAAATGATTGTTTTTAGATCGGCAGATGTTAAGAGCAATATATGAAATGATCGAGGCGTAATTGAGATTTTATGCTTTAGATGTTCGTACATCTGTTTTCACGTAACCTTTTTAGTAGAATAAAACACATGGAATTTCTTCAAGGTTGTTAGGTAGTATTCATAATGAGACACGGCTTTATCGTACGTAAGCCTATCAAGCCGTCTAATCTGGGAAGGTATCCATGCTTGTGCCATATTAGTGGGAGCTCTGGCGAGGATTAAGGCGGTGGTTGGCATTGATCAAAACACGAGTACAATGGCTGACGTTGCGGTCAGTGCCAAGCCTCCCACCATGTCATTGTGCAGCGTCCCTGCGCCTGCCACCCTAACACTTGAAATAAAAATAACCGATCTCCCACCCCGCGCTGCTGCCCACCACTACTCGGGCAGGAAACCCCCTATTATAAAGTTTAATTTTGCAACTCCTCAACAAGCGTTGGATTTTATCTAACCAACTTATAGTTGAGCTGGGATACATGAACTATATTGTAGTAATAACTCATGCATGTAGTTGGACAAATGTCTATTTTTTTCAGTGAGATCGTGAGGAGGACCCTATAAATTCTTCTCTTTGTTCGAGGCTTGAGACGGGAGGTGTAGAGGTATTACGTCCAAACCTCAAGACGGCGTTGGTTGTTTAACGTAGTTTTTATGGTCAAGGATTGTAAGTTTTTTTACTGTGAATCTAAACTAGTTATCAGAGGCCAGTAAATTATTAATGGGATGGAAATAGTTTAATTGTTAACAAAATATGTACCCCGGTCTTGCAGGTTTCTATTGCAATGCACGACTAATAAAAGAATTCATTCAAAAAATTTTTAACCTCATATAAATTTTATACAGTACAATAAAAGTGATATATAGGTATTAAACACTGATGTCTTCAACAATTAAAACTATTTTTTATTGAAACGCGTCTAAACAAAGGTCTCATCCCTAAAATGCATGAATATCTACACCATAATTACATGGGTCGAAGTTTTATTGATTTCTCTATGAATGATTCGTGAGTAAGTTGGCGGTGGGGTATGTGGAGAGAAACCTCGGCTCGGAGCAGCCCCTGTACATTGCGAATACAGGGACGGACCACAAGCAAGGGTTGACCAACGCGACTAAGCTGCGCAAGAGACGACGACGCGCAAGAGACGTCCTACTGGGACTTGCAAAAACAGGTCTCGGGATTACATCGCGCTATCAGATCCCATTTGCTGGTAGCCCAGGATCACCTGACTTTAATGATATGCGCGTATGTGAAATGTGCTTTTGATATGAGCAGAGCTTTCCTAATTAATAAAGCGTTGGGATATTTCTCGACCTCGATCGCATGAGCATTAAAAGCTGGAACTTTGTTCCTCTGTGGATTTGAATTACGCATAGAAAGATCAAGAGATTCGATTGAAACTATAATAGTAAAAATGACCAGACTATTACTCTGAAGTAGTGACATTCGACATTGGAAAAGAAATAAAAAATCCCAAAGCTTCAAACCACAATTTTATCACAAAACTACACCATATTACATTTCAAACTCTCACCGAAAAAATCCTACAGTGCATGAAAAAAATGTGATAAACAGATTGTTTTCGAAAATCGGCTACATGTGATTCACTGCGGCGTGAGCGCTACCCACGTAGTAATGTATTAAATTGTTTGTTCCTCTACTACGATTTTCACCCACAGCAGATATACATATAAAAGACTCGGAATCGCCAATGAATTTTAGGAATCCAACACCTGAAATTTACTGGCTAGAAACCAATGTCAAATATTACAAACAAGGAATCATTCGCGATACAAAAAAAAGTAAATCAAGCAAAATCTGCATAATTGTAGATTGATAAATTTAAGCGACATTACAAATATTATCAAATTCAGAGAACGGATACTTCACCTTTAAAATCAATCTAGTTTCAATCAGTGGAGGAAGAATTTATTTGCGAAAATAAATAATTACGACAATAAATGTTGTTGGTAACTGACCATTAAATAAACTTGAAATTTTATTTTCGGAAGCATGTGAAGATCTGTCCCAACTAAAAACTTTAGTGAAAATACAGCATAAATTGTAACTGAATCGTAAGTTAATTTCATTATTCTTCGGTCGTAATTATTTGCAGTGAAACTCAAACTCCCCATGAAGATCAAAAATAAAATTATCAGCTTGCTTATCAATTGCAAGCAACATTCCGCTTGCTTCTTATATTGAAATCAACATGGAGCGACTATGGCACATGACCCACTCTAGTCTCTTAATTTAATTTAAAGCAGGTGTTCTTTTTCTTTGACGGTGCCACCGACGAAGGAGCAAAACTTTCTTCCTCACGACCGCTTCATAAACAAGGATGCTGAGCACGCCGTTTATAATGTCGCGGCGCTCGCTTTGTTGCGTGCTTGTGAACACGGACGCACTACCGTCGTCAAGTCTACAACAACCCAACTCTGTACATGCCGAAAACGGGAACTTAGTGAAGTATTCTCACCAAACATGCGCAAATTGGCCGCACCTGAAAATAGAGAATGTGTTTCTGTACTTATAAGTAACAACTGTAAGAAGCTGAATTGATTGCCGTCAGCGCGCTCGCGAAATTCAAGCGAAGTGTCTCTATTCAAGTGAAGTATTTTCGTTCACGCGAAGTGTTTTCATTCAATAAAAATGTCTTCATTCAAGTGAAGTATTTTCATTCAAGTGAAGTATTTTCATCCAAGAGAAGTGTTTTAAGTGAAGTGTTTTATGCTAGGATTTTGGCCCCCTGGCCCCAAGACGAGCGCCCGCTTATCTGGCACGGCGCACAAGAAGCTTAATGACCGCCTTTTGATCATTTCTTTATCACACACTAATGAGAGTCGCCCCAGCCTTCATACAAGCATTTACCATGCCTCTCTCTCATGCAAACCAGCCTTCCTATGATCATTAGCTAGACTGGAAAGAAATATACCGGCAGGGTACGGTAATAATTAAAATACAATTAACAACTCATACTCTCACTTGAGGTAAGGATGGGATCAGTGATTTTTTTGCCAAATTGTGCGATGTGAGGGTTTTTTCAGTTAAGATGGTTGGCTAAATTATTATAGCGGTCGTTTTGACATAATTGTTTATTGTATTTGGCAAGAATTCTATGCATTTAATTCTATTTTAAAACTATACGCATCATTAATATATAAACTGTGACATTAGCTGCGATGAAACGACCATGATGGGGAAATTCTAACTAGGGTCACTTTTCTCCATGACTTGAAATTCCAACACTTTTGGGACGATTTAGTATAAATTTTAACCAGTGACAATTAAAACACATATGCAATGATGGCAAATATAACATGTGCCATGCAACACGAGCTATGTGCGCATGGTTTGAGATTTCAGCTACCGATATTTCAGTAAAATTCTTGGCTTTTGCAATCAGGAAGTACCTTAATCAGACCTAATGTAATTTTGAAGTAAAAAACCCATAGAAAGTGAATTGTTGCACCACAAATTGCCTAATGTCATTTATTATTGAATTTCTGCCTTTTTTGTGAGATGATTTGAAGCAGTCTAGTTTGAGATTTTGGGACCAGAATCCTTTCATGGCAAGAAGAAGATCGATCAAATGCAAAAGTTAAAACTAGGAAGCCTAAGAGACAGAAAACTGTCGGCCTTTCGCCGCCGTTTTGCAGGAATCGCATGTCGTGGCATGGCCGGCTCTCTCTTTTTTGTCTTTGTATCACGGAGTAAAATAGTTTTTGCTGCGCCTTGCCTTAATTAGAACCAATTAGTGCTGCCTGCAAAATCACTGGATTTTCACGCACCATAAATCATGAATTAACAAGATTTCTATCAGCGCTCGCAAGAGGCGGAGGCGTTGAAACATGAAGGAAAAGTTGCTACAATGTTGAGCGGGCCTCGGTAAAAACAGCAACAAAATAAAGATAGTTTAGCGAGGCAGACTAGCTCAAACTAGCAGGAATAGAAGTATATTTAAATGCTTGCCATGTCAAAAATCTCCATAGACTGTAGTCGTTGCGACAGCGATCAATTTGCAGACTATTTTTAATTCTGGAAATTTATTTTAGAACTCGTTAAATGTAAACCACTAAGAATGAACTTCGATAATGTGGTAAAACAAGAAGGCTTCATACATTAGCTAGTACAGCAAAAACGGTAAATTTCCTATCACGATTTAGAATACATGTATGTAAGAATGCATATTATGGATATTAAAAGGAAGCGGGACAAAAAATTCGAGTCTCTGAAGCTTACAATGGACTTATAGAACATACACGACAGTTTCACCGAAAGATTTATCAGCCGGTCTAAATTCAAGTCAACCAAATATGTGACACTCACTATAACTGGCGTGGTATCAGATGGTCTTATTGTCCCAAGGCAATTAGAAACCATCTTTTAACGGGGACACATGATATCAAATGCAATTTAAAGCCCAGGTTTTTGCAGCAGAGAAGGGCGGGTCGTAACAAGAAGTTATTCGAAGATAGCATTTGCTGTTAGACCAGGTCGGTGCTTCTGAGTGCGCAATAAATCCCCACCACGGCGCATATAAACGGTACGATGGTGAAGTGAAGACGCAGTGTGTGTGATATGGCAGCAGTTATTAACACTGGATGAATGAAAGTTAGGTAATGAATACCGCGCAAACGTACATCAGATTCGCTGGAAATTTCATTTTGTTACTCTGATAGGAGCATTAATATTACCATTGGCGTTAGATCAACTAAGTTTACTTCGCTTAATTGCACATAAAGCTTATATGAGTATTCAAAATATAACGAACATCAAAATTCGAAATCAAAAAGCCCATCTTTCATAATCCAAAGCTTAAGATGTAGTAACAAGTTTAATAAATCAAAATTCAGAACAAAATTTCAATGTTTATGCTAGCTTTCAAAAGAAAATGAAGGAATAACGTCAGAAGTAATTTTTTGTGGGAGTTTCCATAGAGTCTAGTGTTGCGAGCATAAAAGATCGAGCCGGGGCAGAGGCGCGTGATGGAGAGCCGTGCGACATGGGCTCCGATACGGCGAGCGCCAGTGCAATCGTCGCCATTCGTCATTGTTTACAGATTATCTGTTAGAACATTTAGAAAGCTCCACAAGGCTCGCCAATCAATGTAAAATTCCCCTTTCACGCTTGCTGACAGTAAAATTGAGGTTCAGTTTCTTGTGCATGTAGAGGGGACAAGAAAAATACGTTTGGATATCATTCTCGTGGTGGTTCAAGCTTATACACATTCGTTCGCTTGAGATAGCCGAGATTTAGAACGCCAGGCTCACAAAAACTAATGCCATCGGGAGTAGGCACACTAATTTGAAATTGCCGATAGAGATTAATAAAGATTTCCGGTGTGTCCGTGTGATGCGTTAAATTAGAGAAACGGCATAATCTTATTGGCGTATCGTAAAAAATTCCAATGCAACGATATGCTCAATTAGGAATCAAAACTATTATTACCGGCATCCATCGTAACTATGAACATGATCCTAAATGTACTTAATTTTTTGAATAAACGGAGAGTACAAAGAAACCGATCAAAGCGAAACTTATGGATCAAAGTGAGCGTTAGTACAAATATATAAATATCTGCAGCAACCACAAATTAGATGTAATTCTATCCAGAATTCTATGGGATTAGTGAATCTCCACAGATCTGCAAATCAAAAGCTATCGCCAACAGTTAAGTTTCTCGTAAAAGGAGGCCTGTGATGGCGCGATAACATAAAAATTAAAGTCATACTTATTTACATGGCCAACCTCTCTTATATAGTCTCTTAAAATAATGGTATCAAGAGCTCACTAAATCAAGCTCAGATCTCAAGAAAGTTGACACAATTGTGCAGTCGTTGAGAACGAGATCGCCGAGCGGTCTCGGTCTATCGGTAATTTATACCCAGTCTTTAGTGACACATTGTACGCTGATAAACGCAGTCCGAAAACAGTTCCATTCGCGTGGTCCGTTCTCGATGGGACTTTTCGCTCCGAATGAGAAGAAAGTAGCAATCAAGTGACATTAATTAGAGAGACTTCATTAACATTTCCGACAATATTAGACAAGGAATAGAAATTTTCGAATTTCACTTTCAACTCTATTGAAACTTCGTATGCCAGTTGAAACGGTCGTAGGGAGTTTGTTGAAATCGGTTGGAAGTTGAAGAATTTACGTTTTGAAGTGTGGAATTTTGAGTTTATTTGTCCTAAAGCAAAATCTTACGATGTCATCACATTTTTGTTTGTCTAAGCAACGTTTATGTCTAATTGTGGCTTCCACTCCCTATCAGAGACAATAACAAAGCTCGGTTCTACCCAGGGTTTTTTTCGATCACATTCGACAGCATCCCTGCAACTTTCGTTCCTGTTAAAAGACGATTAACGAAGTTCCTGATAGCGACACAGAGAGATTGGACATCTTAGGCCTGTATTGACAGAGGCAGGCTCGTACTAAGGACCAACGTTGTCTGCACAGACTGTCGCACCAAATTAGCACGCGCTGCTGCACTCGACAAGAGCGCTGTAGCTACATGCTCGCCACACTGCCTTCTTATCCGAGAGTTTGCGTGCATTCTTCTTCCTGAGGTCCTCTATGTTCTTTTTTAGCTCGTTGGTTATTTGACTGCATGTCTAAGCAAATTCGTCGTTCGTTTATTTTTAATTCAGCTTGTCTCAGCAAACGAGCTGATCACCTTCCTAAATAAAGAGGCAGAAGCATATTAATTTAATGAAGAGTGTCTCTTCATTCTTAATGAAGAGGCACTAGCATCAGCAATGCTCCGATAAGGAGAAAGAATAATCTTCCATAATATAATCGCTATAAATTTTTACACTTAGCTAACAATGTGTAAGTCTTGCATTATTCTTCCGATTTTCGACTCCCACTTCCTTGTTTTGAACTAATTCCTCACGTAAAAATTCTCGCTATTATTAATCACAACGAAGATGATTATTAACAATATCTCATTAACGAAAATCATGTGTTGACTGATTACCGACTCTAGAATGGAAATAATAACATGTTATGCGATGAGTAATGGAGATAGGTTCGAGTCATTTTTGTGACTACAACTTATGGAATATCTTTATCTGGTTTCCGCGTCAGTTAAAGATAACATATCATCAATTCAGAGCAGAATCGGCAAGCCCGGGACGTCAAGGCTGCAACTAACATTTGTACGCTCGTTCATAGATTAACTCAGCAATGTAGTGTATAAAGTGTAGTGTTTTATTAAGATACTTAAATACTTACTTGATGCTTACAAGGCTTATAATGATAGGGAAATTTTCAAATAGTTCATAGATAGGGAAAATTGTACTCACTCCTTAGAGGACTTTTCATGGCGGCTTCAACGAGTCCTGCCAGAAGCTGCAAACTTTTGGGGTCCTGAGCGAGGCTACTACTGAAAGCGGCCAGCGAGTCTGCATGTCTGCCCATGTGCTGCAGAGCCACACCTTGTCTGTAGTACGCCTGTAAGAAATGGTACAATTAGTGTTGAATGCGATGGAAAGTTTTTACATTTTTATTAAAAAATTCTGATCGTGAACAGCAATGCCAAGCCTTGTGTGTCGGGTGCCTGTACACAGTGATATTAATAATTCTTTATAGCTAAAAAACGTTTTCGTAAAACTTGATTGAAACATATTCTATGTGCCCCAGAAATCACGACTGTAATAGGCCTGCTCATCACTGCACCACACGATAACTTTTTATAGTAGCTCCTACAAAAAAAAAACTATAAACACATTTGATGAGCATGAAGATCATGAACTTCATGTATATAAAAAGTTTCGATTGCATTACACCCAAACTATGCAAGAGGTATACAGTGAGGAAAGCAAACGTCTTGGAACCTACACAGAGAAGGAAAGGCTGCTTCGTTGTGGTTGGTTGGTGTCTACTTAGAGTCCAAACGCCTCGGAGCCAAGATTTGTTACGCCGCTTCGGTCTCGAACCATTCGAAATCCCAAGGTTTTTCTTTTTCTTTGAGTTGCTTGCACTTGAAGAGCGATTTTGGAACAATCTGCATATCGTTATTCGTTTTTGCCGAAAATCAGCGCTCTTTTGCAAGTCTTCCAGAAGGTCAAGAGTATTGTTCCGTGGAAGGGTCACATTTTCTTTTACATTTTCTTCTTCGATGACTTCGTCAACTCTCTCAAATTTTTTGAATGCGACATTTTTCTTCATTCTTCTTTTGGAATGCATGCTATCCTTTCTTAAGACATCACGTATTGGGTGATCCATAGCGAAACTCATATTTTAAACGTCTTTAATAATTTTAAGTTTATTCTGACACAATTATTTTCTGCCAATTCGTTTTTTTCTGACCTACAGCTAGAAAATAAAATTAAAATCGCAAATGAAAAAGAGAAATTATGCGACAGTGTGCCAATGAATGGCACACAGAAGGGCACTACCAAGGTTTCTGAAGAGAACGGAAAGAAAATGCTAATATTCATTGAAACGTATCCTACGCAGACGTTGCATACATTATGTATATATGGTCACTGTATGAAGGCGTACCTGAGCCATGCACGATTCACCGTTGCCTCGCGATGTTTGCTTACTTTCCGCCTATAGAGTTGCAGGATTTTATGCTAGCCTCCGTACAATGATGCTTAATTGCGCGCGTTATTAAAATGCTATATTGGCTCTCAAGGTGGACCGGTCACTCGCGTAGCATTGGGCTTCAAAGAAGGCTTACGTACGCGCCGCAGGAGGCTTCATCGATTGCCAGCCTCTGAAGCCACGAGATCTTAAATCAAACAAAGAAATCTTGGATACATTCTCCCAGTGCAGCCCCCACATTTATTCCTCTAGAAGGTGACGTCACAAGATACTCGTTTCTGAACCCTTCAATTGAGAGACCTTAAGTTAAACTCGTATATATTAGGTATTATATCAATGTTATATTTTTTTGTGCAACTGGCTAATTGCAATTCTTTGAGAGGTTAACTCGTACGAACCAAGTTTCTCATACTCAAAGCGCTTTACTGCGTCAATAAGCTTAATGTAATTCAATGTAGGTACGAATACTACTAGCGTTTGCAAGCAAATCAAAAACTTGGGAGCAATTGAATGCATAATAAAGTCACAATTTGGTAACAGAATTATACTTGATTAGATTTGCGGCCAAATTTAGTGATTAATATTAATGTTAAAAATAAATTGAACATGAAACTTACCGACTAAAAATAACAAATACTGAATTTACTCATTTGAATGGAAATTATTCGCCGATGCGGTAAGAAAAAGTAAAAATTTCCATTGAAAAGGAAAATTCACTAAATAAAAAAAGTGAATTTATTATTTTGAATGGGAACTATTCGCCGGCCAACTAATAAAAATTAGAAAATATTCCATTGAAGTTCATGAGGATTTCTGTCGGCCTGGGTTAGGTAAGAAGTTGATACCACATTTGCTGCTAGAGCAAACGTGGCTCAGCAACAAACGATGAAGCTATCAATGACATTCCAAGAGTTTACGCGTTAACAATACAACATTGCAGCCTAATCGTAAGGCCTTATAACGAACGTTGCTTGCCTATTATATGTACCTTCACTGGGGGTAAGAAATCAGCATACCAATAGCGGGAAGGTCGTCGCTTCTGAAGACATTATCGTTCACCGTTACGAGGAGTGGCTGGGAGAGCCGCTTGAAATAGGATACCAACAAAAGTTTCGTAATCCCATTCAGAATAACCGGTAGATTATATAAATTATTAGTGACTTCTGTGATGAAAAACCAACAGAATACCGTCAATTTAAAATGTTTACTCTGTGATTTGAAATTTTTGGACCAGTATGACACGATCACTGTTCGATGACACATCATACTGTATATGTAACGGCGGAGATGGTGAAACAGTTTTACTCTATTGCAATAAACAGCAGATCCCTAAGGCAAAACTGATTAAAACTTCCAACAGATAAAATACTTAGAACGACTTGCAAGTTTCACACAGAAACAATAAATATTTAGACAACGATGCAGGCACAATTTTCATCCAGAGATTATTCTTTAGGTCGAAAAATAATAATTTACCTAGAATTTGAACACGGGAACATATTGTAGATCAGGGACTGGTTAAAACCAAAAGTCCATGGGACAGAAATATTTTATTATATTGTAGAATTATAAGAAAGGTCCATTCATAAAGAATTAAGCCTACATCAGCTTACAAAGCGTCATTTTTACTCGAGCAGGAATAAATCCGCTGAACATCACATTCATAACTTTGATCTGGGCCTCAGATGAATGTTTTATTCAGGACCTAGAGTCCAGCAAAGCCTTAATCGGCACAAATTAGATTCAATTCAAGAGATTAAGCCAAACGAATAGTTAATCTTTATAAATAATGCGCGCTTCTTCAATGGCAAAGCCGATCGAAACTAAATTCTTAGTGATGCCAGCAATAAATTCCGCGGTTTACGTCACGCAGGATCTCAGAGATGTTACAGACGGCGTAATTTAGTGGTCGAGTGTCGGGCGCCAGACATGCCATCTGAGTACTAAACATTATAGTGCACCATCTGAGTACTGAACATTAGTGCACCATCTGAGTACTAAACATTACTGCACCATCTGAGTACTAAACATTACTGCACCATCTGAGTACTAAACATTAGTGCAGCATCTGAGTACTAAACATTATAGTGCACCATCTGAGTACTAAACATTAGTGCACCATCTGAGTACTAAACATTAGTGCACCATCTGAGTACTAAACATTATAGTGCACCATCTGAGTACTAAACATTAGTGCAGCATCTGAGTACTTAACATTATAGTGCACCATCTGAGTACTAAACATTAGTGCACCACCTGAGAGATACTACACTCTAAATGTGCTCCATCTGTGGGCTATTCAATTAAACTCAGCGTCCGAGTCTGACTGCGTGTGTATAGGCCACACCCATGACCTAACCTAACCGAAGCAAAGAGCGTCTCAACAAATGTTTTAGCAGAGATCAATTGGCAGACGCTGCATGCCTAGCGATGTCTTGAAACGTCACAAGGGCTTTCGGGCGTAAATAATCTAAATAATCTTATTCACCCTTAAATAATCTAAAGAATCCTCACCCGCATAGTTAATTGTATAATAACAACGAAAGAACGATTCCTAATTTGCATATATTACATAGTTATAAATGCTTTTAAAATAATTATTCAAAAGATTAAAATACAGTACAAACTTTTGTAAACAAATTACAACTGAAAATATGTTAACGAGTTTAAACGTCCGTAAAATTGCAAAGAATTAAGTGCAGTGAGAAAACTATGAGAGGAATCGACTTGCCAGCATTACTGCGACCGAGTCGGACAGACAGCTATCGTATATATGCTAAGAACGATCACGGGGCTGTTGCAAAGAAGCGTGTTTGCACATAGGCTCTGATCTCACCCTTGGTCAGATCCAACATTAGCCACCCAGACCAATAAATCTACTGAGATGCAAATCAGCAGCAGCGACTGAGGGATGTTCAGGCAACGCAGTCACCAGCCCAGGATCGATGAGCAAAGGCCGTTGCATGAGAGTCTTGCATCTGCCTCACACTCAGACAAATAAGTGAGACTAGTACAAATAAACTGTTTGCTTTTGTGTAGATTATACTGACCCAGTTTGATCCAGTATAAGAGCGTATCTACGCTATTTGCAGACAAAGTGTCACAATTTAGACCGTATGACCTGTTCATTTATTTGAGTTCGCGCGCACGTTGTGGCAGTCCAAATTGTTTCACAGCATAAGATTGGTGGCTGAATATCAAGCTCAAGCAGGTTAGGATGTCACCAGATGCTTGTTTCAGATGCTTTTTCACGCATTTTCTCATTTATAAAAAAATGCACTATTGTGCTCGCCATGTCCGTCCGTCCATGCGTCTGTCTGTCCGTCTGTCCGTCCGTGACTTCACGTTTTCGTCGACGAGAAAATGCGCTCTCTGTCACTCCCTGCAGTGAGTACTGAGTTATATTTTTTATTCAATGCAACCAGCATACTGGAGGTTAAAAATTAAGTTTTTATATACTTTCTTGGGCAATTGAAAACGCAAATGCGGCAAGGCAACATATTAGTCGTGTTCGATATTATTTACTTTCTTAGCAGGAAATTAACTACCTACCCTATTTTTACCGACGAGTCCAATTAATTTAACAAATTAAAAGTGAAATAAAAGGCCACGTAGCTAAAGTATACACGTGTATATGAATATTCGATACATGTATGTATGATTTTGTACTTAAATGATTTTGTACTAAGGCGATCAAAATTTTATAACTCAATGCGTTTAGTGACTTGATAAAGAATGTTGATACATTCGAAAAGTTGTCAACAAATTAAAAATGTCTTTCAGTAACCTGATTCCCGATTTACAAACGCAAACGAAAAATATTGTTCGAAGTATTGAAGAAACACTAATACGAATATCAATAAAGTTAATTCTCTGGTCCTCAATCAAACATGCTTGTAAGA